CATCGTCAGCAGCAGCAGCATCCACACCGCTGTCTTCATCATCATCACCATCGTCAGCAGCAGCAGCAGCAGCCTCACCACCAGCATCCCTGCTGCGAGCAGTGAACCTACGAGCAGCAGCAGCACTGTTCTTGCTGCCAGGTGTTGAGCCTCTGATGACATTCTAGTGGAAAGGACAACTCTAGCGTGGCCCTGTCCCCAAACAGCTTGCAGAATAACAGACAAGCTAAGTCAGAGACACCAGTGACTAACTGGAATCTCTACAGAGAGGGTCAGACGAGCAGCCCCCTGGAATGAAGTGATTGCGTGCAGTGGCGCTGGTCAGAGCAACCTCGTGGCGCGGAAGCCTGCCGCCTTTGCCCATCTTCCCAGGTGGTCCACAGAACAGCTCCCCTCGCTGTTAGATTTGCAGGGTACAGTGCCAGAGGCCAAGTCAGGCCTCCTTCTTAGACCAGCATGCCTCCCTTGGACCCCCTGCCCTGTCTGTTTGCATGGCTATTGTTCGGGCTGACAGGAAGGCCCAGAGGTCCTGGGAGTCCCACAGGACACTCTGTGTAGACAAGACTCTTTTCTGCACACTGGCTGTTCAGCTCATCAGATATTCTCTTGTGCCAAGGATCTAAAACAAAGCATGAAACTCAAATCAGGTCACCGTTGACCATATAACACGCATCTGCTCCAGTGTGCCCAAAGGCAGTGTTGACAGCCATGTTGATCAAGATACAGCCTCAGGCCTGACAAAACAGTGGGGGTGGGGGCACGGCCAAGGCTTCTTAATGAGATGGTCTCATAACAGGACACATGTGCCACTGGTTGCCAAGGAGGCGGAGGCGTGTGGGCCAGCCAGCATTGATCACTGATGGAAGGCCATCCAGCATGCGAACTGTGGAGGATGTTGGTTTTGTTCACTCTGTCTCCTTGTCACTTTGCCACAGATCTCTGCATCCCCCTGCCTATCACTCTCCGTCTGTCTGCTCTGTCTCTGACCCTGTGCGTGTGTGTCTCTCTACTGTGTGTCTCAGTCTCTGTGTATCTTTGTGTATCTCTCTCTCTCCACCTATGTGTGTCTATCCAGGCCTACCTCTCTCTTCTACCTGTCTCTCTGAACCTGACTCTCTGTGTCTCTTGATCTATATCTCAACATCCAGTGGCATCAGTTTCCAACTAGGCCATAGGCTTTGTGGGGGCGTCTGTGTGTAGCTCTTCCTACCTCCACGAAGTCGTGGGGATGTAGCACTCCTGCCTTCAGGAAATGGGAGAAGTTTCCTATGTACTGTAGAACTTGTCATGGAGATGATGGGTTCTCACCAGAGAACCCAGTGTCCACAGAGCTCATAGTTCATGAAACCTGTGGAGTTGCAGAGCCCACAGATGGTAAGCTGAGGGCCATATAATCTCACGGGAAGTTCAGTGTTCCTGTGTAGGTGGATGCTGACTGGGGCCTCTGTAGACGATGCCCCATCTGTGGGCTCAGAAGTCTCCCAGGAGAAAAAGATGAGTAAGACAGACACATCTGCCTCCTGTATCCTGCTCCCCGTCATGCCAGCCATGCTGCCATGCCCAGCTCATGCCTGGCCTTCTCTGCTCTCAGAACCTGCTGCCTCTGACCAGGACAAGGACAGCAAACCCTGCTGAGTGCCCACATGACACACTTGATGGTCAAGCCCCAGGCAGAGAGGAGAATAACCACAGAGGCCTGCCTGGCTTCCCTGTGCTTCATGTTTTCACTCTTCCCGGTCCTCTTCTGTCTGTGGATGGGGCCTGATCACCCCGTCCCACAGAGGTGGCAGGGCAGGGCTGGCAGGATCTCACTGCATATAGACAACCTTCTCTGCTAGCCTGGCATGAAATGAGGGATCAGCAGAGTTTGGTGGCTTCGGTTTGAGGAGTAAACAAAAATCAAGATAAGGCCTGACAAGAATTCCAGGACTCCGAGTTCAGCTGTTAGAAA